GGAGAGAGAGAGAGAGAGAGAGAGAGAGAGTCATGCATGCACTGCGCTGCTTCTACCTGCGTCCGTCTCGCCTGGTCAGTAGTTGATCTAACCAGCCCTCTCGAATCGCGCGGGCCGTGGCCTGCTTTGCCTGATTTATTTTGGTAGCCTCGGGGTGGGGGGTGGTCGAGATTTCTATTTTCTCTGTTGCTCATGTCTCATAAAGCTGTGCCTGTTCGACTTAACTGTTCAACTTCTGAGTTAACTTTTTTTTTTCTCCCTCTCTAACTGGGCAGACTGATGACCTGACAAAGGAATTTGGCTCAGGTCGCAACCAGCGGGCAGTGCTGAAGCGACAGCGGAACAAACTGGACGAGGAAATGTTGTCGGTGACGACCAAATCTGTTGCAGAGACCTCCATCGTACAAGAAGAGGCTTCTGGCAAAGCTGGCGGTGAGAAAATGACAATAAATAGCTTTTGTGCAGCGCATGTCCCCGCTCTACAGCAAGGTCTTTGCGCTTTACACTATATTATTACACCAGCAGACCATAGTACACCCAGAAACATTCTCAGCTTCCCAGGAAGCATACAGTGCAAGCACACATGCCTCACACATCATTTAATGGAGAATTGACAGAGTTTCTTTGTTTTTCAACAGTTCATTTTTTCGTTTTTCCACTCCTTCAACATATGTCAGTATTAGACTATGTTTTAATGAGTCTGCTAGCTATGTATTCAGTTATCATTTTAGTACTATTTTACTTGAAGATTTTGTGCCCTGCTTCTTGATAGGTGTGTGCACCTATGGGTGTTTTTCCTCTACCTGTGGAGAGCTCCTGTGGGTTTATTTGATTGTGTCTAACACACTTATTAGAGATGCTTTGCGGGTGGTTGGCAGGTGCTCTGGTGTGGTTTGCTCGTTCTTTCCTATCAAACATCTATTGTCCTTATCTCTCCTCTTTTTTTGTGTTTGTTACTCTCTTGTAACACTGTGACTTCTGATCTTCGGGACTTATATGACCTTTTTTTGTTGCAAGTGCCATAAAACTTTTACTAAAACTAAAAAGAGATGCTTTTTAAAAAAATCTGGAGCTTGGAATTTGTACTGAATTGCTGAGGGTGGTTGGTGAGTGTTCTGTTGTGGTTTACACCTTCTTTCCTATCAAAAATCCATATCTCTTCTCCTTATTTTCTTTGTATGTTACATTACATCTTATCTTCAGCACTCATATGACCTCTTTGTGTTGCCAGTGCCGTAAAACTCTTATAAAAACCAAAATAAACCAGATTGCTCCTATTCATATATTCTTTTGGGGTTGGGTTGGGTTTTTTTCAGAACTTATTGTCACAGAGACTTCGGCTGTTCCCCCTCACAACAAAGAGGCGAGTCGGCCAGAGGATGTCTACAAGCTCAAGGACAGTGAGTTGTGTTGCTATTATTGAAGTTTACTGTACCACTAATTACTGTTACTGATCCCATAATCCACAATCCCATCATACCCGCTGTATGACAGAGAGCCTTGTCACGGTTTTTTGTGAGCGCCTGAGTTTGGGCGAAGGATTTCCCTGTCCACTCCGCAATGTTGTCGGTCCTCTTCTTCCTTTGCCTTCCTCTCCTTCTCCTCCCCAGGGCAGTCTTGGATAAGCCACACAATCTTGCTACATGGCCATGCCATTTCAGTTTTCTTCGCTTCACGGAAGACAGCAAGTCTAAATAGTGGCTCATGTGTTGTTTCACTCTACTGTGCACTTCCTTATTTGTGATGGGTCAGTGTATGACCACTATATAAGCTGTTGTTGAAGTTTCACTGTTCTGTTAGTACCAGACACTATACTGCTGTAAGCTGACTAAACACCTTTTTTTATTCAGAGCAGTTTCGAGAAATGGAGGGGTTTTTTGTCAGCGTTACCATTTAGAAATAGTCATTCTGAAATTTGAATTCTAATTTTTGAAAAAACTAGATAGTCTGTTTCAGTTTGATTTTTTTACTCAAGTAGGGTAACTGATCAGGCTTTCGATTTTTCAAATAAAAAATGTTGGCGCCGATATGAAAAAGGCATTTTGTCAGCTTGCGGCGGTATAGGTTGTTGTGTAGGCAGGGTGCTTGGTTTCATGCCAGGACACTTATACTGAGAGGAAATATTTCCGTAAAGACAAGAACTTAGAGCAAAATAGAAGCTCTTTTTGGTGTGAATGATTTGAAAATTTGATTTTCTTTAAAAGTAATTGTTGTGAGAGGGTTACCAAGTTCTTTCCATGCGGTTCTATTTATTATTTTGGTTCTTTCTTAGTTTGTTTTGTTTTTTGTTGGGTTAACTCCTTTTTTTTTTCAAGGAAAAAAATGTAATGGTCTCTGTGCTTTTGGTTCTTTTATTTTACTGGTGTCTTTGGGGCATGTAAAACTCTTTATAATATCTTTTTCCAGTCATCAGCCCAGAGATCATGGGTCCTCTGTCAGAACAGTGTCAAGCTCTCTTCAACGGCACCAAGGAGGATATTGAGGCTTGGACCAGGGAGAAAGCGTATGTTGGCTCGACTCTCTTTATTGCATGTTACAATTTCATTCTCTCCTCTTTAAAGAAAGATTATATTTTTTTAACACTTAACACCCTAAGGGCCTGGACGGGAAGTCCATTGTTAGATCCTAAGCAAGGGGAAAGAACCCACCTCCCGTGAATACAAGCGTTTAAAAAACACATTTTTAAAATACTAAACAACTTCCAAAAGTCCTGAAAAAATAAAAGTTAAAAAGAAAACTGAATGTAGTTTCAGAAAAATATAACTTTATGTATGCACAAATTGTTAGAAATGTTCTAACTTTAGTTCAATCAGGGTGTCCAACCCGCCACTCTCAATCTCAGCCTCACGGTGGGGCCCTAGATCTAAATTTTCGATTTTCTCCGTCTGGTCAATCTGAATCACCCCAAACTCTTGCTACAGCGTTTTCATCAAAATCTGAGCCGTCTGATTTGTCACATGCTTGTTTTTGCTCAAATCCATCGTTGTTTCCGTTCTCGAACTCAATTGTGTTGCTTTTCAACAAGTCGAGACACTTTCGAAGCGTCGGTAACGCGATTGCGCTTCGGTCAGCTCTAATACTAAAAGTACTGGCCCGAAAAATTTCGTTTCGGTATCAAACGAAAGAAGAAACTTTTTGCTTTGACTATGCAAATCAAAATCTTGGCCCCAGAGTTTCGTCAAGGCGAGACTTCGTTTCTAAAGACACTAGGTCGGCGCAGGCGAGTCAAGGTGGAGCGCGTAAGGGAATTTGCGAGCGAGTTAGGGTGTAATGTGTTAAACACTTTATTTTACTCCTGAGACATGTTCATCTCCCAAAGACCCCAACTGATCTGAGATCTGTCATGTTGCGTTGTATTTAATGTATCAACCATTTTGTGTGTATTAGTCTTTCTATTTCTATTAACTGTTGATTCTTGTTGTAAAATGCAAGGAGCCTGAGATACTGTACTGTAAGCAATGTGTATTTGTTCTTGTTTTAGCTCTATTCTGTTCCTCTCGTATGAATTAATAATAATAATATTTTGAACAATTTTACAGTTCTAGTTTGTGTTTCAAGTGTACTCTGTGGTATTATTTTTCTGAGGGTCCTCATGCTATGGCTATAAAGTAATTTTTTCCCCAACACCTGAAGTCATTGAGTTTTTTCTATATTTTTTTTTTTAGGGGGGGGGGGTATTTTTGGAAAATGTTTTACCGCGCTCGCAATTGGATCTGGTCATTTGAGCGTGCGGGACTCACCAATCATTTTCAGTTGGTAGGAAATTTTGAATTTTGCCCAGGTGGCGGGCGAAGCCTACTCTTATCGAGTTGGGACCACCAAGGGATCTTTAACGTGCGCAACTTGCACACGGGACCTCCGAGATTTGTCGCCCTTGTCCGAGAAGGCTATGTGTATATCTTTCCTTACATAAGATCAGGGGTTTGGCTAAAAAACAGCAGTAAGAAGGAGCCAAGAAGTAGCAGTAGAAAGGCTGCAGACTGCAGAAAGAGTCAGG